CGTTTCTATGAGATAAAAATATGAATATTATTTCAATATACGTGGGAAAAAAATTATTTTGGCAAACCTTTTTTTCCTATACCTATGCTCCTTCATATATATGTGTAGATATTATTATTATAGCCCCACAGGCAGACAATATTCTTCTCAACATAGATTTTCTCAATATCAGAGGAGGTGGATATGGTTTATTATCGATCTCACATCATGAATGGAATCCGGTAAAATGTAGAATTAATTGCTGTGTAAACACTCCTTATTGAATAATTTCTGCAATGTTTATTGAATTTCATAATCGTTGGATCAGATCGTCAATCAGATCTGACAATAACACCGTTTTGCATTCTGCAACTAATATGCTTGAACAATTTCCCGTTATTTTAATTGTGAGCAGGTGATTATAATCTATTATTGATGACAATCAGTTTCATAACCTCGAGAAGCCAAGGAGCAATTTTGGCAGAAACACAAAATAGTAGTTCACCTAACGCGATTGCAGATGGCCGAAAACCCGAGAAGGTAACTTATAGAAACATTTATTATTATTAAATATTCCCAAAAATCAAAAAATTTACGTATCCGCACTTGTGATTGAAAATTATCCCCCCTATCAACCCACTTCTTTTGATCCATGGGATCCATGAGATCCGTGGGACACCCTGTATAATTGAGGATATCACTAATACATAATTGAGAAATTATGAATTATTAAAAATAAATAATATTTCTGAAGTTCACTTTAGTATTTCAACATATGCCAACTGTGCTATATGGTCTCCCCCTACTTACGAAATCGTGACGTCATTTTCTTATTTGCGGTAAATTTCTAGCCATTTGAAAATAACCGTGATAATATTGATGGTTTTAGCAACTTAAATCCTCAAAAATGTGGAATCGAAAGGTAATTTAGTGATTATATTTAACAAATGAAAAAAAAGTAGTCCACTAGTACAAAACAAACAAGGAAGGCGAAGACTTGACCTTGTCCCATATTAGTAACAAGAACTGGATCAACACCAATTCACCAAAAGGAAAATTGGAGCGCTAAACATCATTCCATAGTTGACATATAACAAAAGCTATATTGCTTATTTGGTGACTAACTAATTTGTATTCATTAATCGTTGGACTTTCATTCCGTATAAAAAATCTAAGGAATGATCCCGTTAATGTTGATAATGAATTAAATATGCTCTAATCTTTGTAGATTCTATAATTTCATTCCAAGAAGTTGATGGTTCTAAGGAACCTAATAGTAATTGGTATTAACGTCTATGTAATTTTCAAAATGAATGACAAATATCCATCATGGACGCAGATGTTCAAGAAAGGTATATATTTCTTTATGTTGTTTAGTAAGATATGAAAGATTCCTTTGTTATGTTTTTACTACATGGAGCAGCTCCAGCAAAACACAACGCCGAGCGCTTTCGGTTCGTTTGACGTTCGTGCAAGTGGCTGACATTCCTTGATCAAGGTGCTCCAACTGACTCTGAATATACTATACATGCTCCTTCCCTCTTTATAATATTAGTATAGATTATTATACCATAGATACCAAAATTATATTATGTAAAAATATAAGTAAAAGTAATTAAAAACTCAATGAAGATGAACAAATTTGAACATGGAATGAAATAGGTGAAGCTGCCCCGTCCTCATATGGTAGATATCTTATATGCCGTCTTGTACCTCTCAATCGCAGGCACACGTTTCTGAAAAACGGCAGATTCCGTGTAATACACCCTCAGCAAAACAAATTTATGGAGTGGAGCTAGCTCTGATGTCTTCTGCTGCATCGTCATATCTTCTATGCTTTTGCTTTTGCGTGATTATGGGCGATGGTATGCCAGCTTTGGGATGTATAAGAGGGGTTCCAACATATATATCTGCTCAGACAGCCAAGCCGCACTAAAAGCCCTAACATCATTTGTTTTCACATACAAAATTACATGGGACTGCTTGGAAACACTCATGCAACTAGGAAAGGACAACAAAGTCACACTTATGTGGGTTCCAGGACATGAAGGAATCGTAGGAAATGAGGCAGCTGATCGCCTTGCAAAGAATGGAGCAGCATCTGCAATCTTTGATCCTTAGCCTTTTTGTGGGATGTCACCTAAAGGGAGAACTCAGGAAATGGAAAGAAATTGGAAAGTCCTCCTATTGAAGAGCAACTCCAGGTCACCGACAAGCGAAAAGGTCCATCCACCATTCGCAGAACCAAGCCAAAGAGCTGCTCAGCCTCAGCAAACCAGAGCTAAAGCTTATTACAGGCTTTCTCACAGGACACTGCCCTCTGAGGTACCATCTCAAAAAGATGGGCCTGGCGGAGACTGGCACTTGCCGCTTTTGCAACAATGCGACCGAAACCACGGAACACATACTTTGCTCATGTAAAGTATTAGCCGCCAAAGGCTGAATCACCTAGAACAGGTCTACCTCACACCTGCTGAGGTAGAAAATTCAACCGTCAGGAATATTCTGGACTTTATCAGGAGTCTAGGGTTAGAGGACCAAAACTAGATAAGAGTGATCACAATAGATCTTCTAGGTCGCAGTGATCGAAGGGTCTCCCAGCCTATACGACCCATCTACAATCAACAATCTACATTACTTTATTTCAATCGATATCTTATACCGATCTAGAGAAAATTGCATTTAAAAAACATACATCCTAATCGTTTCAACAGTAATGGGAACTCTATTTATTCAATAACATCATGGTAGTTGCAGTCATTGTGATAATTAACATAAAATTATTTTGACAGTATTCAATACTTGGGTAACATCATGAATGAGTTTAGTAATGATGAATATGCATATGTATGGGCTTGCAGAAACTTTCAAGGCCAAAAACTCTGTAACGAAGTGCGATGGACATTCTTTCCATATGGAGTACTGACATTATTCTGGTTCACTCTATCAGCCCTATCATTTACGACATGACTTTTCCGGACACCCTGTATAACATGATTATGTAATGAAGTCATCGTCAATCTGGAAACAAAATTAATTATCAATTTAAAGGCACTTGACCTTGAACCCCGAGAAAATGTCGCATTTTCAACAATCCTCTCCTCCTCAGAAGAATCTCAGATCCGCATTTGGAACTTTAGAAGCATATTCGAATGAACTTAGAAAATCATTAACATCATTGGTCATTTTCAATTATATACCGTTGTTTTTTTCTCTGAATGTGAGTATGTACCGCAGCAATACGCAAATACTGCCATTAACGAAAGAGTCGTAGAAATCAATAGTTCCCAGACAAGTCTCACCACTCATATTCCCAGCAGCAGAAAAAATGTTCACGTGATTCTCGCTTTCTATATTACAGCATCTCGCAAAGAGTGGGGTTTCATGTGACCTTGACAAATGACATTGCCAGCAGCTGCTGTCTTCGAGGTACCGTAACAATATTGAAAAGAGAACGTGGTTTGGGTGGTTATGCACCAAGAGCGGTAGCGAAACCGTTTCAGATAGTGCCGTTGATACCGTTGTTGACAATATAACGATAAGATCAGTTGGCATTCTAGTCTTTTTGTTTATTCTGCTCCGATAGTTTTGTTTTGTATGTTAATACTAGCTGGTTGTGATTTGCTTCGCTTGTTCTGTTTTTTTTTTATCTACTATATATTCTTCTCGTATGAGAAGAAGCAACATTTGAGACCATGTCCAAACACCGAGAGCAAATGAGAACTTCATACAACATCCTCGAGATAGAAATGGACGAAAGTGGAATACAATCTTTCATACTCCTTCACCACTTTTAACCATTAGCAATAATATCTAATGTTAGAGAAACAGAAGTTGTGGCAAATTTTCGAATCACTAGATAGATATGTATAGTGACAACATACAGGGTGTCCGGAAATTATGCGCAAAAAATCAAGGGGGTGATTCTGCATGAGAAAACATGAGATTTATTTCATATATACTCGGGTCCGGAAATGCATAGGTTTCAAGATACAGTGTGTCGAACTTTTTAGAAAAAATCGACTATTTATGAATATCTCAAATATCCTTTCACCGATTCTCTCTAAATTTGGCAATGATATTTTTTGTCATGAGGGGCTGATCTAGCTATAATTGAATTGGAATTGTGAAATCCAGTGGCGTCCCGGGGGCACCCTACCGAATATTATTGTAATTAAAATGTGCGCCACTGATTTTTTCAAATTTTACATCGTCATAACCTAATGATTAACTAAGAATGAAACATTTTGGTCTCTTGAATTGTTTTGCAATTTTGCTGCGTTTCCGTGGAAAAAAATAAATACCAATTCATTGTATAAATTTCTGCAAAACAAAGCTTCAAAAACAGGGGTGATCCATCTCCATAGACGTAGAATGAGAATGAAGATTCATTCTCTTCAAATATTTCATATTACATGTTTGACACACTTTGTATTATCGAAAACTGCGCCTCCCTGGAGCGAGAATACATAGTTCTCTATATACAGAGTGTAGAGTGTGTCAAACATTTATCAAGAAATATTTGAAGAAAATGAATCTTCACACTTATTCTATGTCTATGGACATTGATCACGCATTTATTTTCACCCCAGTTTTTAAAGGAATTTTTTGGCACAAATTCATGCAATAAATTGGTATTTATTTTTTTCCATGGAAATGAAGCAAATTTTCAGAACAATTCAGGAGACCAAAAAGTTGTATTTTCAGTTGGTCAATAGGTTATGAAGATGAAGAATTCAAAAAAATCAGTGGCGCACATTTTATTGACACTAATATTCGGTAGGTTGCCCCCTGGAACGCCACTGGCTTTCATAATTCCGATTGAATTATCGCTATATCAGCCCCTCATGACAAGAGATATCATTGCCAAATTTCAAGAAAATCTGTGGAAGGACATTTGAGATATTCATAAAAAACCGAACTTTCTTAAAAGTTTTTACACACTGTATGTTGAAAACTATGCATTTCCGGACCCACGTACATATGAAATGAAATTCTTATATTATCATGTAGAATCACCCCCTTGATTTTTTGCGCCTAATTTCCGGACACCCGTATAGAAAATGTTTTGGTCTCGTGGATTTACTGACGTCTTGAACGGTAGGTAGGTATCAATTATCAATTATACATAATATCACAGATATCAAGAATAATTCGAATTCCTACTAAGCTGTCAGAGAATTATTATTCAGAGAACGAATTTAGTAAATATGAAATCCACTCCCTTGTTTTGTTGGCAAAGGCCTCCTTTCGGAGACACCTTGAACTTTTCGGGCAAATCATGTCTAGGTGATTATGAAATAAACACTGTATGTCTTTAAAATTAATTCCTTACAATTTATCTCGGCATGAAATTACTCCTTATAATACTAATGATAGTTTTTCTTAACAGTTGCTCGTTCATGTTTTTTCCTATATATCTTTATCTCGAACAGTAGATAGTTATACTCTCCTTGAAATCTACAAATTTTAACACATTTGATTTTTGTAGGATAAGGAGTTGGTCTTTTTTCAGATCACTCCTTATTCATCCGCATATTTTTTCATTAATTAGTTATCAATACATGAAATCATTCCTTCTGTTCTCATTGCTTCTCTGTAACATTTCAACATCTTAGTGGTTGTGGATGGCTTTCTTTTACTAATTCCACGACTTTCTGGTTTGAAATTAGGTGAATCAGTTAGGTAAACCTCGTCTCTTGCTAAATTATAACACCGCAGAAAATTTTGAATTTAATATCTAGAAACAGCAGAATCCTCAAATATATATGTATAAAATCATCTACGCTGATGCCGATAGGCATCTACTAAATTTGTATTTCTAATTGAATGCAGTAGGTACTTTATGATCTCTGATGCCGTTAATATTGATATGCTTTCGTTCTGAACCCTATATCACTGAACTGAACAAAGATACAATAATAGAAACAAAAACAACAATAATTATTGATTCATTCCGTTTATATCATAAAAATTTTGTTTCTGTCACTAAAATTCGTGAAAAACACGAATTTTATAATGAAAAAGTGAAGAACCACTATTTAAGTATCGAGATATTTCGAAATGTCACCTTCTCTTCTAGCCCCTTTGGATATACGCATAAACAGCTAATCGCCCTTCATCATTCAACTTTGAACACTCACCAAAAGTTGAAAACACGAATTAGAGATTTTTTTCCAATAACGGTCGTGAAGGATAAAGTGCAAAAATATTAAAAAAACATAAATTGCATCTTGTTTTTCGGAATCCATGCACCATCGGCGAACTACAGAAAAGTTTAGGGTGAAAAAAGGCTGTGTGACACCTGAAAAGATATCTCCCTGTGTATTCTCAAGATCACTCGGCATGACCAATCATGTATGAGCCTTGAGCTGATGGATATCCTGAGAACTGCAGCAACTGAAAAAAAAATCGTCGAATTTCAACACAATCTTGGAAGTGGAAGAATTTTGAACATACAGGGAGGTGCGCAACAAATGGTCAGAGCTGTAACTTATAAATCATTCAAGATCAGATATTAAAAATTGGTGGGTAGGAAGTATACCAAATTGCTAATCAATTGACAGAACAGCTACTCTTCTTCTATCCTGGTTTCACCGAAAACGACCCCGATTTCTGATTTTCAAATGGGACATCCTGTATTTCATTCCATAATCGTTAGGGAATATCATAACGAATTCAACGATACCGGGTATGATATGGTTATTTCGAACGATTACGAAGATATTCGCGTTCTAAACATTCAGTTGGTCAATGAGACAATGACAGAGAAAGAAGTTTTGATATTTCGAAGTCACACCCATTGAGCAAATGAAAAACTGAATTCGTTATGATAGTCCCTATAACCGATTATGGAATGAACTCGGAAATGATTGAACAAACATTGTTTTGTCAATTTATGAGCAATTTGGTATACTTGCTACCTAGCAATTTTCGAAATCCGATCTCAAATGATTCAGAAGATCTGCACTGGCTGTTTCTTTTGCACTGCTCTGTATCTTTATAGGAACTTTTATTCATCATTTCTTAGGGCTTGAGACGCTCTATTACCCCTGGAAGTGCATGCGACACACATATTATGTTTATGTAACACTCTGTATATGTCTTTTAGGCCACCAGATATCCAACAGGTAAAAACTAGACCAAGAATCGCATCGACAATGCGTCAAGTCACATAACATGATCAATTGAATAAAATTACAACTGGCGATTTGTTCTCGGTATATTAGGAACGAATAGAAAGGGCGGAGGTGTTCTAGTTGTTTTTTTAATGTTCATGTTGTGGTTTAATGTGATCTTTATGGTGTTGGTAGCCTGAAGAAATGTGCTCTAATGGCCTCATCGAATGTCGTTCGGAAAATGAAAGTGGGCCGAAAAATCCACGGAAGGATAACCACAACTGTGCATGGATTGGTATGCTCCACCCTACGTACCTAACTCAAGAATGCGTATAACTATTCGAAATCATATCATGTCTGGTGAGAACAACAATCATTTCAGTTGTGGTTGGAAGAACTATAGCAATAACTTTCAGGAGCACACGAATTTTTGATTGTCATATTTCGCAATGTTGGAATGGTGATCATTCTTTATGCCAAATAGGCAAGTATACCAATACGTGAAGCCAATTTATATATTATAACTTACATAATCTTCAACTAATACAAAATACATTGCTTAAAATAGTACTGAAAAGAGACAGAAGACATCCAACTGAGAGCTTATACAAGGAGGCTAGCTTATTTAATATCAGAAAATTATACACCTATCACTGTATACTATGGACGATGATCTCGTCTCTTACATATCTAAGACACATACATGACACCCGAGCCAGATCCGAGAGAACAATTAGTGTTCCTTTTTGTAAAAATGTATATACCTACCCAAAGGTTTGTCACTTTCTTTGGACCAAAACTTGTCAATCAAGTTCCCAATGAACTACGAGATATAAAAAGCTTTAAAAAACGCAAGAAAACAATCAGATCCTTCGTCGATCACAAATTTGATTCCCTAAAACAAACACTCAAATCTATCTACTGAACCATGTCCGGATAATTTATTAATATCTTATTTAAAGCTGTCTCCCTTTTGCCTGAGTGTCTTGTACGATCCTCCTGTGAGTTGATCATTGATTTTTGATTTTTGTTGATTCTCAATTCATATTTTTTACTGAAATGAATGAATAGTTTTCTTCATCTTATTTTTTTTTCTATTTACCTTCATGGTTGTGTCCAGATCTGGGAAAATACGCAACACAAGTCTACTTAGGCGTCTTATATACTTATATACTTATTTAATTATAAATACTTTCTTTCGCAATTTAATGTAATCAGATACTATTTATTTATGATATGTAACATTAACAACGTAAAAGAACATGTATGTATGTATGTATGTATCTGAATTGAATAGAATATATCGATATATTGTTATTGAACTATAATATAGAATATAGTGATAAAATGAGAGGAAATTTTAGTCAAGGAACATTTCGAAATTTTGGCGAAGGAATATTTTGAAATTTTGGTGAAGGAGCATTCTGAAATTTTGGTGAAGGAGCATTCTGAAATTTTGGTGAAGGTTTTGTGAAGGAACATATTGAATTTTTGTGAAGGACCATTTCAAAATTTTGTTAATTTTGAAATTTTGGCGGAGGATAATTTTGAAATTTTGGCGAAGGAATATTTTATAATTTTGGTGAAGGAACATTTTGGAGTTTTAGTGGAGGAGCATTTTACAATTTTGGTGAAGGAATATTTTGAAATGTTGGTGGCGACACATCATTCACCATTTTATTCGAGAAAAAAGTCGCTCATCCTGATCATCCTGAGATCCTGATCAGAATAATGAGGAAAAAACTGTCATCAGATCTTGATAAGTATGCGAAGTTTCAGTTGAGAGGGTCGTGCTTAAAATTGTGCTTCAAGCGGTCCATTTTTCGAGTCTCGATCCAAATTAATGTGTTACATATTCTAAGGTTACAGACAGTATTTGAATCTGAACAAAAAATCAATTTGACATTTTGACAGAATGAATTTGTTATTGTGTATTTTCATTTCATATGAAGTCTTGATTCAGTGAGTTTGGAATATGAGGATGTGTAGATGAGATCAGTTCAGTTCAAAAATGGAATTATTGTTATTTCAACTAGGAAAAAGCCAAATACTCAAAGTAGTATGCAATGGTCACAAATAGAGAGAAACTCAAAGTCATTACCACATTAGTTCATAAAATGAACATCTCAGATGTGTTTACGCTGGGTCAGGTTCGCACCAGATAGCGGTCAAGAAGCTATATGGATGAGCTCTGCACTGATGAGAGCCAACAGCTCGAAACCTGCAGGTAGTCACGCGTTCCTGTACCACTTCGGTGCAGCTCGGCGTTTAGGAAGGAAACACTTGCAATTTTATTCGTCTATACGAAGTATTGCATAGTTTCGGGAGGATGTATTCCAATTTTCCGCGTGGCATATAGCCAGGAAAGTAGTGGTTTTTCTCTTGTTATCTACCATTTTCTTTCATTTTATGAACTAATGTGGTAATGACTGATGAGTTTCTCTCTTTTGTGGAATTGTTGTTTTATAATAGTGATGGGGACATTGAGTAGGTAGTTGGGTGGTACAGATCTCATACGTATATATCTAGGAAGGAAGCAAGCTAAAGCTCCCACGGAAGGTATTTTTTTCTCCCCGTGGGAGAAAATGGACACCTTTGCACTTAAGCCACCAGATGGCTATGAAGGCTAGATCGTCCTTCTGTCCCCTCAGGGCTTCGACTTGTTTGATATAATTATGGAGGTACCCTTCGTGAATCGATTGTCAGCTGGCCAGTGCAACTGATGAGACTAATGGCAAGTCGAAACAGTCTGTCTTGCATCAGCTGACAATCGATTCACGAAATTTCCCTAAAATCTCTTAGTCTTGAGATTCTAGGTTTATCACCATCTGTTAGTGGAACATTAAACCACTTTGAGAATTACAGGTGTTGCGATAGTCTACAAAACTCTGACATGGTGTCTTTTCTGTAAGCACATAGACGTAGGGGTCTATATGCACGACTTACTCGCAAGGTATGATTGATGAATCTACTATACACCTTTGCA